GATTGTAGAAATACTGGGAAATCGAAGCTCAGAGATCGTGGAGGAACTGGTTCAGAGTGGAAATTGCGTAGACGAAAAAGGAAGATGGGGGAATGAATGTTTAGAGAGTGGGCTTAATTAAATGGGCTATCTTCATAGTCGCGGGCCTGGTCTGAATCATGGCCCAAGTGGAAATTGACACATATTTCGAAAGGAAAAAAAAAGCAGCAATATTTCAATTTTAACCTCTAATTTGGTTTGTTTCCAGAAATAAAAATAAAAAGCTTCTTCACGAGTCCATCTTTATCCTAGACTTTTAAATTTTATACCTTTTTGTTTTTGTTTTTGATACCGATGAGTGTTCGGATCAATTTGTACACACCTCGACTAATAATCTAATGAAACAATTGTCCGACTCTACTACATTTGATTGTTTAGAAAATAGATAGTAAATTAATTTTTAGGTCGGTGCCACCATAAAACACATATAATTGTACATAGAAAATTAAATTTTATCTGTCTGAACTCAAAAAAAAAAAAAAAAAGTTTTGAACTATAGACTTACCAAATATTGCAAATTTTACTTTTTTTAGACTTTCAAATGAGGGCATCATTAAAATATGTCCGGCCGATGTACAAAATTTATTGTCTAAGAACATAGGACTTAATTTTTTTTCCCATTGATATGATAGGGATGGCAACTTTTTGTTTCAAAAATACTTCATCATTTCAAAAGTTTCAATGCTACCACTAAACATTCATAATCATAATAGTTTAAAAAAATAATTTTATTTGTGCAAACATCGTTTAATATTTTGAATGTATTTTAATGTGGTAAAATATGGAACAACGTAATAATTAATATAGAAGCTTCTCTTGAATAATTAACTTGACGATGTCATTCTAAAGGAGTTAAGGTAATTAACATGGCTGAACTACGTCGTCCAACAAATTGTTTCAAACAAACTTACGCATTAATTATCACATCGTTTTAACTTTAGCTAAGCCAACTTATCATTCAAAATATTAACGAAAATGTTTGCTTAAAGGTATTTTTAAAACACTCATGAAACTTTTGAATTATAAAAAGAAACTCCCGATTTTTGTTTTTTCCAAAACATAAATAAATGCATTGTTTTATCTATCATTCTTGAATTATAAAAAGAAATGAATATAACACAAAATTTTGAATATTATTTAATTTAAAAACTTTAATTTCATATAAAAAACAATTT